AGGTGCTCGACTTGCCACCTCGTCACGAACGCGTCCATTTCGTCCTGCGGGGGGTGGACCCCACCCGCCGCCGCCGCCGCCGCCGCCGCCGCCGCCGCCGCCGCCGCGGCGGGAGACACCCGATCCCGGTGGACCGCCCCCCGGCCTCCGGCAAAAGACTCCTGCGCCAGCCCCGGACTGTCGGTCGGCGGCCCCCGCACGATGTCGGCGTCGGTGTCACCGGGAAATGGGGGGAACAGCGTCGGGCTGGACAGCGGGACGAGAGTGGAGCGCGCTCGCAGTGGAGATCCGCGTGCGATGTCGTCGCGGTCGCCTCCAAACGCCGGTGCTGGTGTTGTCCTGCGGCGGCCCGGAAAATTCTCTTCCGCCGCCGGCACGTCTCCCCTGCGACCAGTGCCTTCATCAAAGTCATCGGCAGCAGCAGAAGCAGCATGCGAACGACCTCCGCGCCTTTCCTTTGACACCAACCCGCCGCCGCCGCCGTCGTCGCCGCCGCCGCCAACGGCGCTCCTTGCCGACACCGGTCTCCACGAGGAAGGGCTAGGCATGGAGGTGCCAGCGGGGGTGCGATTGGGGGGGCTACTCCGCAGGACTTGCGCGCGTGCGTACGCCCCCGCTGGGAGATCGTCAACGTCCGGGATGATGCTACGTCGGTGTCGAGCCTGGCGGCCGCCGCCGCTGCCGCCAATGGCATTGCCGCCCCCACGGGCCGAGGGGAACGCGCCGTCGATTGCTTGCCTGTGCTGTAGCTCGCCTTGTCGAATGTCGCCATCGCCGCGTCCGCCCCCACCACTCGGTGGGAAGTGCCCTGCCGCTACGCCTACGCTGCTGCTATCGTTCGCGACGGACGTGTTGCCGCCGTGCACAGGGGCGCGGGAGTAGGCGGCATCTTCCCCGTCGTCTTTCGGCGATTGGCGGCGACCACCGCCACCAACGCGTTTCTTCCGCAAGGCTTCTTCTTGCTGTCGGTACAAGCCCTGCAGCTGCTGCTGTTGCTCCAGCTGTTTCCGCCGCCTTTCCTCCTCTGCCTCGGCCTCTACCTGGAGAAGCCGTTCACGCTGTTGCCTGCGTGCGGGCACATGGACGGGTGCTAGGTGTCATTCGGTGCAGTCACGGAAAAGAGTAGTGAAACATGTCCGCACCACGAACACCCTACTGCTGTGTCCCTCACGGACGGTGTCTGACAATAGGAACGGCTTCAGCTACTGAAACCTGCATGGGCATAAAATCGGAACCATCGCCTGCGAGCAGGTTCAACACCCGGCCAGTGCCCACATCTTTCACACTCCTTTCTAAACGTTGACACCTGCAGAGAGAGCCTACAGATGATTCGACAGCAAATACATGCGGATGAGACCCAACAAACAAATCCACGACCGTTGCTCAGCAACACGCCAATCGCGCACCTTGCTTCCTCCTCCTCCTCCCGCTTCCTCTCCTCCTCGTCCTGCTTCCTAGCCCTGGCCTTCGCGGCGATCTGCGCCTCCAGCGCTCGCTGCTGCTCCAGGGCCGCCGCCCTCCTCTGCAACTTGCTGTCGCCGTGTTCGGACTCACGGAGGCTCTGCACACCCGCCCCCGTTCGCAGGAACGAGGGACCCCCGCCCGCCGTCACTGCCGCCCCTTCCACCCCGCCGGCTGCTCTAGCGTCAACGAGAAGCTCTCCACCCATGACACCTGGCCCCGTCGCGCTTTGGGGGCGGGCGCCGCCGCTACGGGCACCGTAGTTGACCGTCGAGGCGCGGCGGTAGCCCGTGCCACCCAAGGCGGCACCCATTCCACCACCGCCGTATACGTCCTCGACCAGCCGGCGGCGGGCGGCGGAAAGCTGGCCGTCGCTGCCGCTGCCCGGTCCACCGCGGGCGCCCCCGCCGCCGCCGCCGCCGCCGCCGCCGTCTACGGCACCGCCGCCGCTGCCGCTTGGGGGAGGGGTCGACCACGCGTCAGAAGGCCAGCCGTCTCTCAAAGGCGACCCCGCGGAAGGCCCTCCCACGCTGTGGACGGGACGGTTCTCTCGGCCGTCCGATCGCGGCGTGAAAAGCGCGCGATTGTCGCCACCGCCGCCGCCCACGCGACCGCCTGTGGAAGCTCGGCGACGACGGCCACCCGCCGCGCCGTCATCGTCCATCGCCGCCCTGCGCGCCTCCTTCTCCGCCATCTGCTTGCGGAGCTCTTCCGCGTACGCCGCCTTCTTCGCCCTGTCTATGGCCTTGTCCGTGCTGTCGTCCCCGCCACCACCACCTCGCACGGTCGACCCGCCGCGCAGCAGCAGCTGCTGCTGAAGCGAGGCGTTCCCCCCCCCCCGCGGTGTCCCGATTCCGGCGAGGCTTGTTCCGTGTTCTATGGCGCTGTTGCCGCTCACGCCGTAGGATGAGCTTCTTCCGAGAACTGACTCATGCACCTGCTGCTGCTGCTGCTGCTGCTGCTGCTGCTCTTCTGGATTGTTCGAGAATGCCCGCTTCTCTTGGACGTCCCGGGTCAACGCGTCGAAATACGCCGCCTGGGCTTCGCTCCTCGCAATGTCGGCCGCCGCCATGTCCGGGCCGGACCACAGCCCCCGGAGGCCGGGCCCTTGCCGCTGCGGGCGGAGAGAAGAGGCGGGAGTAGCAGCTGCGGGGTCGTCTCCGCCCCACATGCCCTTTAGCCCAGGCCCTTGCCTTCGCGTCTGCTGCACAGACGAGTGCCTTCGCCCGTCGCCAAGGGGGAAAGGCATCGCGCCCCTGGTTTCGGGAGGAGCGTTAACCTGCTCATCCTGCATGCCCACTAAGTCTCCTCCTCGTTGCGGCTTGGGCCGACGCGCCCCAGTTTCGTCTCTTTCAACCCCACCGTCGTCGTTCCACATACCCCTCAGCCCACCGGGTTTTCCTTTGCCTCCGCGCGAGACCACCCTGTGCATGTCCATCTGAGACAGCATGCCTTCGCCGCCCGCGGAGAGGTCGTCAGAATGCTCCGGTCGCGCCGACACTGCTGGCGGAGGAGGAGCAGGAGGAGGAGGCCGCAACGAAGACGAAGAAGATTGCCGTGATCCATTCACCCACCTCCCCCCGCCGCCGTCAACGGCAGCAGCAGCATCATCGCCTCCCCTCCCCCCTGCTTCTCCCCCCCCCGCCGCCGCCGCCGTCGCCAGCCGAACCTCGAGATCACGCATGGCTCTCGCCACGTCCGACTCGAACGCTTCCGGTGCCGGTGCTCCTGCCCACCTTCCTCCGCTAGTAATTTCAGCAGGGCTGTCACGGGGAGAAACCCTGGATTCTCTCAGTCGAAGGAACTCAGAGGCCACTTTGGCGTCGAACGAAGGGCGTTGGCCCGGCCTTGGCGGCGGTGCGGAGAGGCGTCCCTGGGGCTGGTGGTGCCCTCCCGGCGGCAGCGGCGGGGGACCGGCGTTCGAAAACGATCCCGCAGAGTAAGGCGACCCTGTGGGGACAAGAGCGGCGCAGCGGATGGCCAAGCAGCAAGTGGTCAGCGGCCACGGCCAACGTCTTGCTCTTGCTGTAAATGGTCGTGCTTGAGCTTGCAGTGTTGTTCTAATGTTTGCGGTACTTTCTGCTGTTAATTAGCTGTGACCCAAACCAGAGCCAGCCCCGTAGAGCAGTGGTATCTCGAAGTTACATGGTGAAACTTGGGCGGCAACGCCGTGGTTGGTGTTTCCACCAGGTACGGAACGATATGCCCTCTTGCACACCGCGCAGCGCACAGCCGTATACAGCAGACACATGCTGGATGAACTCCTCCTGAGACACTACTGCTGTCGTTCGGAGAGAGCTGCTGTGCCGGTATGTACACGTAATTGCTGAAATATGCACCCTTCTGCTGCGACCGATCCACTGACCGGAGGGAACCGCAGAAACGCAGAAAATGAAGGCAGCATTGAAGGGCCTCTCTGTAAATATGTAACCGGCAAATGTGCTTTGCATTCTACGTCCTCCACCACCGTCGACACTGCAGTCGTGAAGGACCGACGTTGCACAGCAAGCAGTCACCGGTTTGAAAATTGAGTCAAAAATTTGTAGCCAACCTTGGATCCCCAAGGCAGGGCACTACTCCCGGAATAGCTCACTTGTGCTGAAATCCATAGGCCACGCACTATGCAGGTGCTCACCTCGGCTCTCCAGTGCTCCTGTCTGGTCCCCGCTGATGCCAAGATCCTCCCGTCGCCGCTGTACCGTCCCCGAACCGAGGTCACTGCTGCTGCCGATCCGTTCTCCTCCTCCTCGTGGTGCAGCAGCTGCTGGGTTGTGCGTACGGTCTCGACCATAGACTTGGTGGAGCCTGTCTCCACCATAGACGTCGCCAGTCATAGGGATCTCAAAGCGCACAGAGGGTGCGCCCGAGAGAGAAAGGAGAGCTGGTCACGCAAGCAAGTCTCTGTTCACCTGCTGGCTCACCGATTTGAATTTGTCGAGTGAGCCAGCGGGGCCCCCTCCCCCTAGCGGGTTTATAATAGGTGTAGGGGGCATCTAAAAGCCTCCAGCGGTTGGTAGAAACCCACCTGGCGGTTACATTATGATGGGGGGCCTTTCCGACGAAAATAAAACATGAACCAGATGGCGAGAACTTGCCGGCGAGTGCAGCAGCGAGGCTCGAGCAAACCCAAAGGGGGTGCGATGGCCACGGACAGCGTAGAGTTGCTGGCCTTGCAGCGCATCGATGAAACATGCATGCAGCTTCAGCAGCAGGTTCGGAAAAGCTCACAAGCGCATTGGCTTCCGTATCCAAATACTGAAATACCGACGACGGATCCCGTCCACGGCGCCCAATCATGCTCTACCCCCCGAAGTCTTGATTGTTTTACCGCAGACCTCGAAACAAAGCCGTCCAGTCAGCCATTGGATAACCTGTAGTGACTAACACGCCCGCCGCTGAGACACTTTCCAAAGGGTCTCTATCGATGTTGTGTGACTCTTGTTCACGCCTGTTCACGCCCCAAAAGATCTTCCCATGTGCACTGTAGATACGCCAGCCTTCAACACGTCATGCATAGCATACATTGTACCATCATTCCTGATGATCATGTGATTCCTCCACAACACAGGGGGACTACTTGCAAGCGCTGGAATGCATGGAGAGGGGCCTCGTGCTTCGGCAGCACTTCTTTGGGAGCGACAGTGAGGAAGTTTGGAGCGCCTGTAAGATAGTCGGGGAGATGTGCAACCTTCTCGCCATGACCTACCTGCAGCAGGAGGACTTCGGCATGGTGCTTGAGCTGTTGAAGAAGGCGGAAATTCTTACCGAGAGGGATGATGCCGGGCGAGCGGTGACGTACAACAACCTCGCGTGTTACTACCGTCGACGCGGGAAGCTGCACTCCGCGCTACAATACCTCCACAAGGCTCTCAAGATCGAAGCGAAAATGGTGGGTTTGGTCCATAATCAATGGCGAGCATGTTTTTGAGTGAGAAAAATTACTTGCTCATTTGGGATTACTTGCGTCGAGTGCTTAGCTTACTCCTCGGAATGCTCCCTCGATATTGGTCTCTGTCAATTTGTTTAGTATCTAGACAGCCAGCAGCGATGCCGGTGTTGGGCATAAGACAATAGTAGTTATTGCATCGGATGGTAACGTAAACATGTCAGATGTTGCAGCTGGGATTCGAATGTAAAGAAAATGCTGTGTTCTGCAACAAGTCACCCAAGCGAGATATGTGTGCCAACATCCTAATCTACACAACACGGTTGGTTGAGGAAGTGATCAACACAAGGTTTGGTATGTTTGGAATCCAAACCCAACGGAGAATCAGTCTACCCAAGGTTCGATACCCTCTGCTTGCACGCACTTCCTTAGTCGGCAGGCGTTTGAAGTCATGAAACCAAGCTTCACAGATTACGGGCATTCGCATTTCCTTCAAAAGGCACGACAACCAGAAAAACTGCCTTAAAGCGTAGTGCGTGCTGCAGACTTGAGTTCGGCTCTCCTTGTTCCCGTCCAGTTTTTGTACTGCGTCCAGTTTTTTTCTGTGTTGCCTTGTTGCTTGGTTCGACATGAAATTGTCACATATTTGTGTGATTTACGTGCAAGACGTCAATCCAAGAAGAGAATCTAGACTGACACGAGGGGAATAGGCGGTGATTTGTGGTGCTTTTAAGCCACTCTCCAACTTTCTAATTATCAGCAACAAAGTCAACACGGAAGCAACAAGCAACAACTCATGATTGACGTTTGTGGTGGCGCTGGAGCTAGCTTTAATAGCATTCTCGACGGGGAACTCTGGTTTTTCAGTGGAAACTTGCCACATTGAAGCCCTCAAAGGACAAATCAAAGCGGTCGCCCGCACTCAGCTACCAAACTCTGCCATTGACTTGGAAAAACCGTGCCACAACTAACCCCTATATGTATCATGTACGCTAACCATTTTTCGTGTCTGCGATTTGGACGGCGACGGCGGAACCGAGAAGGGGTCGCGGGTAGAGCACCCGGCTGACACCCACCTCAACACATGCGCGGTGCTTTCGCAAATCGGGCGACATCAAGGAGCGCTGGAGCACGCCCAGTCGGCGCTCATTCTCCTGCAAGAAGAGCTGTTTGGAGGCGGGGCCACGGTTGGGGACGCTGGAGGGGAAGGCGGGGACCAGCCCCCGCGGGCGGATCGAATCGCCGTGCTGGCCATCGCCTACCATAACATGGGTGTGGAGCAGGAGTTTCTCAAGAAGTTTGAGCACAGCCTGCAATCCTACAGAAAAGGAGTCGAGGTGACGGCACGATTGAGTCCTTTCTGAGTTCCCTCGCGGGGGTACGGCGTTTGGCATTTGTAGATCGCTCAAGATCGAGGCTCGGTGCCCCGTTACCACTAAGCGAGGGGAGGACCCGCAAAACAAAAAACATGGTGTGGGGCACATCCTTTCGCGCCCTCCATCCGCAAGGTTAGGCCCCAGCAAAGATTAGGTCTCAGTGATTTTTTCCATGAGCCCATCAAATCATATGGGGTTCTTCATGCCGGAGGATAAAAAGATCTCTGTGCTTGCCCCTATTTCCCCGTTGCTGTGACATGAAGGTGGCTCAGAAGTACCTGGGTGGGAACCACGCCGTCACCGTCACGCTCCGCAACTCCACCATGGCCGCGCGGCGAGCAATAAGCGCTAGAGATAGTAAAGTGCGAGAGGATCTGATCCGTCGCGGCAATCGGAGGCCACGGGGGGGCGCTTGCGGAGGAGGGGAGCGAGCTGGCCGCCCGCGACAACCGAACTCCAACGTAGGGACAGGCGTGCTGAGCCACGCCCTCTCCGCCGCTAGGTGGGCACGGGTGCACGTACGCGCTGCCTGTGGGTTGTGTTCTTCTCCCTCAGCCACTGTACGTATCTGTGTTGTAAAGGTGGTGTACTGTTCCTCGCTTCGAGCGGAACGGCGTCATGGGCGGTCGGGATGTCCCTCCCGGCAACTTCATACCATTTTCGTACATTGTGAAATCCTTGTATGCCTTTTGGTATCACCCTTCCAGAACTTTGCACTAGAACTCCGGGGAGAGGTGGTCGATTTCTCTGTCCGGCAGTGTCTCTGTGTCTTATCCTTGTGTCTTTTTGGGCTTGCGTAAAGAAGCCATGGTGAAACGATGTGTAAATCGGTTCGGACGTTGAGAGCACGAGCGTCCTCAGGAACTCAGGTCAAGCTCCGAGTGTCCCTACTACAGAAGTAAGTGCCCAACTGTCGCTACATGTGCCACACTCTCAGCGCAACCACCACACCTATTACCCTTTGCCTTCTTCGTGGCACAACGCACCACCGCCGCCACAGCATTGCCACTCCGCAGCAGACGGATCACCAGCAGCAGCAGCAGCAGCAGCAGCAGCATGAACATCAAGACGAACGCCTACACAAGCGTCCACCGGAGGGCAAGAATGAAGCAAGTATTGAGCGTGGTGCTGACGAGAAGGCCGACAACGAAATTGAGCGTGGTGACGACGATAAGGCCGAAACTGATCGGGTCGCAAGGGGACTCATGCAGAGTACGGCTCTCGAGCCCGCACCACCACCGGCGGCAGAAAAGCCAGCGACGACAACGGAGGCCAAGGACGCGGGTTCGGAAGCGGAAGCGGAAGCAGGGGCCGACGTGGGAGCAGAGGCGGAAGTGGGAGAAGAGGTGGAGGCAGAGGTGGAGGCAGAGGCGAAGGCGGCGGAAGAGGACATGGCGAAGGATCCCCGCAGGGAGTTGATGAAAATTAGCGATCCACTCGACGGCGACTTAGTCCTTGGGGGGATGATTTCGCCAAGGCCAGCAGATCAGACCGACGAGCACCAGGGTGAAGCCGACGTAGGCGAAGGGTAGACGTGGGGTTGGAAGCGGGGGAGGCTCGCGGGATACTCTCGACCAAGCTCTGAATTGTCCTGCTGTACCACAGCGAAGAAGCCGCGAGAGCGAAACAACCGCTGGCTATGTATGTATTCACTCTGCGTGCGTGCGTGCGTGTGTATTTATTTATTTAGTTTGCATTGGAAGTACCGTGGCTTGTCAATGAAAGCATGCCGGTAGCTGTGCATTGAGGTGTGTGTGTGTGTGTGTGAATTCCCTCTTTTCAGGAAAAATGTACCACGTGCTTGTGGACTATGTACTGCTGTACCGTAGACGATATGGGCCAGTCTAACTATCGATATCAACACTAAACAACTGAACATCGGCAACGATCCAGACGTTTCCTCGCAATATATGTACGTTGCATGTACTTGCTTGCACAAGGTATATTCTGTGATACAACCACGAGAGTCTTACATGTTCGTTTTCTGCGTGGAGCAAACCGAGGCTGGGCACACAGCTGTCAGTCGGACAGGATGTAGACTGACGGCCTCTACGCTGTACAGTATATACTGTACTCTACAGCAGTGAGTAGATGCTTGCATCCACGTGGCCTGTATTCTTGTCGCGAGGATCGGTTAACACTCACGGCTTTGCTCTGATGCCTTTGCAACTGATCGGCATCGCTTTGTTGTTGGGGGTACTCCAGGACCTTATCTTCAACTGATTGACGTGCTCGAGATCTCATCTCCTTTTGTCACTTACCGTATATGACACAAGATAACACACCCCCTGGACCAATTTTCAAAGCTCGATTACTCCACGATGAAGAGGATGCATAAACGAAACAATACGTTTTCGAACAGCTCTCGACGAGACGGTTCCAACGCCGCCGTTTTCGGCGCTGTGACTCTTCCTGCTGTTGAGAAATTGAGCTTTGAAAATCGGCCAAGGGGGTGTGTTATCTTGTGTCATATACGGTAATCTACTAGTTTAGGAACGATCTCCCTTAGTGTCGGATGTATGCGTATGAGGGAGGTCGTCGGTCTTGTTGACTTTTTTTTCTAACTCTCGGTCACATGCTTCACTCACCATCCATTAGCGGCGTTAGCTTCGACGTACGCTCTGGTCAATTGCAAATTCTCAGGATTCACAACTTTGCACGCGCTGCGGATATCTGGGGTCAGTCGTAGTAGCAGAGGCGGCCACGAGTTGTATGAACGTACATACTGTATGAACAAACGACCTTGACAAACGCGGCCGGCCGCGTTTCCGCGCACCAGATGTTGGGTGGCTTGGTGCGCCCGGCGCAGTTGTAGACGGCAAAAATAAAAGAACCGCGCGGCGAGTTTGCCGGCAACGATAAAATACAGTAAACTGCCCACGGGTGTGGTAACCCGCCGCATCTATGATGTTCCGGAGCGTGATAGCTCTGATGTGTTGACGCTGGTGCTGTGATAGCTGTTGTGATGGCGTGATAGCCTAGAGGCGTGAAAGCCTGGCAGCGTGATAGATGGTGGATAGGTAGTATGGGCACGGGCGTGATAGCCCAGGGCGTGATAGCCGGGAAAAAGGAAGATGAATAAATCAAGGGCACGTGGCCAACACCGTTGCTGACACGCATACCCAGAAAACAATAATATGTGGCAAAGATGGTACCACCATTCCCCCAATTTATTACAACTGCGGAACCCCCAAAATCCCCCGCTCCATCTTCTAGGAACATTCCTCGGTTGCAATAATCTGTCAATGCTGTGAGTACATCCAACAGCCCCCCTGCTCGCTGCATTGTCAAGATTATACCCGAACTTGCTTATATTATGCATCACACGAAACCCATCCCCAAAAACTCCAGAAATCAATGTCATTGTGCAACAGTCGTTTCTCCTCCCATCCTCTTGCAACAACCATAAACCATTAAACCAGAGAGACTAGTTCGAACTTCCATTTGATCGCAAACGAACCAGAAACACCTACTACCAGAATCTCCATCGGTCTCCATTGTATCCAGAATCTCCAAAGATCAAAACATTCACTAAAAACCATTAAACCAGAAACACTTGATTGCAATTCCCATCGGTTCCAAACCATTAAACCAGGAACACCACCAACAATTTCCATCGGTCGCTCATGAATTTCAAATTCCCAATATCAAATCATCCAAAACTCAAATCGTGGAAACAACCGCAATGGGTTATATCAGGAACAAATGAAAACGAACACAAATGCAAACACATCCAACACCGTCCGGGACAAATCACTTTCCGAGGAGACTTCAAATCCACACGTAGCACAAGAATCATGATTGCACAAAAATGCTCGACTCCACAATAATACCTCATCCTCATAACAACACGAAGACCATTAATACAAAAAAACCCTTTCGAGTATTTTCTATCGGCCAATCTTGAATTCAATGTCCAACAAACACGATGAAATTACAAACCAGAATACCTCAGCAACATGGGAGCAACACCAAACCTGCCTCAGAAACAAAATCTCCTTGAAACATGTGACATCGCTACGTGCCCTGCCTGCGTGGTTGACAGCGCGAGGTACATTGGAGTCATGGAGTGCTACAAAGATAGGCCCCCCTTCTTCTTTCATTATTTTTCCTCAAACACAAACAAACCTCCGTTCGTTCAGTTTCCTACAATACCTTTTATTTTCTTCCTGCATACCCTACCCATGCATGTCTGGCTGCGGCCCCCCTTCTCCGAACACCAGACGTGAAGGGATCAACCCTCTACTTGATAAACGCATCTTGTGACATTTGGGTACTGGAAACAACCCCAAAATCGCAACCTGCATTGTCAAATCCCGAACTCTGCAAATCGAACATCGAAAACAGACGAAACATTCCATTCTTCGTAACATTGCTGTAGTTAATTGTCATGACACACCAATTCCCCCCCCAATGACCAATTGACAACAGCATCGAAGACATAGCATTTTATATAAATAGAGGGGTTACCCCTGGCCGATGGTACATGGAGAGGCGCGCCAAACACACAGGGGACAACAACAATGTAGATAGAGCCTTCTACCTAAAAAAAATGCCACACGCAGAAGGAAAAAACAAAAACAACAAGCACAACCATAGTAGCGGCCTTCGCGACATGGCCGCAAGGATTCAAACCAATAACCCTATTCCATCATCATGATCCTTTCTGAACAGTTTCAACGCAGCCTTCATGCCGTCAAATATTCTTGCAGGTGCAATTTCAATCGCAAAATCAAATCCGAAAGAACGCCGAAACAAGCCAAAACCAAAAACCAACCAAAAAAACAATTCCGGATCCACAAACCCGCATACATCTGTCACTAAACCGCCGTTGCCCGTGGTTTCCATCCCCGCTGGGCGATGCATCCTTCTCTGGAAATTATCTCAAACCGTCAACAGCACAGAACCATTCTCAGACAAATACCAAACAAGCGGCAGCGCTGCATCAGAAAAACATCGGAATGGGGACGGACAATTCTGAGGAAAACAGCTTCAAAGAGTAGGCACAAAAACTCAAACGAAACAATGTTACAATTTCTTGTACGACAGAAACGAGTATTCGGAAAGCACATAGGCCCTAACAATCACTCCTGCCAACTCCTTGCTCCAGTATAGTCGTTGAGCACCAAACTAAACAGTGCGCACACGCAAATCGGTGCCGCCGTTGCTGTCCACGAAACGGATAGAAAACTAAACAAACATATAGACAGCCCCCCGCTGTCACATCCCGAAACATACCCCTTACATTTCCAGAGTTCATGCAAGAACACTCCGCGAATATCAAAATGCCAACTAACAAACATGGAGACAGCCCCCCTGCAAAGGTAGCTGTTCATATGGGGAAACAAAAACAAATCGAATTGCTGTTCATGCCCTCTAGAATCATGGTCACACATGACATCCCCCCCCCCATGATTCTGGATGTACATAAAAACAGCAACAAAGAAGAAAAAACCAGTGCAAAAGTAAAACGCGCTGCCAGAAAGAAAGGCAAAAAAAACTAAACTAAACACGAAACCCACATTGTTAGATCAGACTCGATGTCGTCGCGCGATGCAAGGCGCGTCACGAGCCCAAACGGAGTGCCCCGCTCGGAGGGGCGACCCCCAGCAGGTTGTTCTTGATCTCCCACATGCACCCCTCCCAAACATCCTGTTCTCCACCGCCCTCCATCTCGTCGCCCCCCAGCTCGCCTTCCCCCAGCTCACCGGTCCGTATCATCCCAGGCCAAATCATCGGCTTGCCGTTCAATACGCGCCGTCGGAGATGGATGTGGTCCATCGGCCTCGGAGGTCGGCACCGATTTGCGTGTCGGCAACGGCGCGGCGGTAGTAACAGCGGCGGGCAGCGGAGCGGCGGTAGTCCTCGTCGCAGTCATCCGCGGGTCCGGCAGCGCGGCGACATCCGGCGAGGATGCAGGCGGCACGGGTGCCCCGGGACTTGGCGGCAGCGGCGGTGGTGCGGCGGCGGCGGCGGCGGCGGCGGCTACAGGCCAAGGCGCAGCGGTGGCAGCGGGCTGCGAAGCGGCGATGGCCCCGGGTCCCAACTCCCTGGGGAGGGTGTTCCCTTGTTGCTTGGCAGTCAAACTCAAAACGGGTTGGGGAAAGTAGCCAGCGCGGTGGTGGAAACCGTCAACATCCATTTGGTTCGGCACGACCCAACACAGCCACATCACACTTAGACGCAACACCTTCCCCTCGCATCAAAACATCCCCGCACTCGTCGCCCGAGGTCTCCCTGCAACTGCTCACCACCTTTGGGTGTTGACATCCTAGTGTGCCATACCGGGGCTTGAAAGGTCACAGCAGGCTTCACCACAGGAACCACAGGAACATCAGGCACAGACATACCAGCAACGGGAACACCAGACACCTCCCCATCACTAACAACTCTAATCTCATTTCCAGACACAGAATCAGACTCGCCTAGAGAATTCACACTACGTGTGAGGAAGAGACGAAGAGGGGCGCCACTTGCTGGAGGAGTGTCGCCCGGAGGTGGAGAGGGGGTCGCCGTCGAGGAGGCAGAGGTCGTTGGATTAGCGCCGATGTACTGCTGCTGCTGCTGCTGCTGCTGCTGCTGCTGCTGCTGCTGCTGCTGAGTCGCCGGCTGAGTAGCGGTGCTAAAGGCCTCGTTGAAGACTCGCTGCTCATCAGCGTCGGGCCCTGCAGAACGGGGACAGAACGGGCGGCCCCGACCCCAGCTTGCCCCTTGGTCGAGTTGGTGCAGCTGCTCTCGATATGATCCGCCCGACAAGCGCCCCGATTCTTGCCCCCCGGCCTGAGGAAAACCTGGTCCCCGCATACCGTCCCTCTCGCGAATGAACGCCATGAAGTCGTTGTAGTGGAACAAGAAGTCCTTGCGAAGTTTATGGCAGTCTGGGGTGTTGTGGGAGGAGTTCGCTCCGTGAACCTGGCAGAAGAAGGCACCTCTCTGCTCATGAGATGGTCCGCCATCCGCTCCCGCAGCAGCTGCTCTCCTCATGCCGCCGTCCCGGCCTGCGCCGGCAGCGACGGGCGCATGCCTCGTGTCCTCGATCCCCTCCCCACACCTCCGTTTGATCCTCTGCTCGTGCTCGACCAGCCTCAGCGTCTCTTCCAGAGTACCTCTCGAAAGCATGGGGTGGAACAGAATACGGTCTTTGACATCGTCGTACATTGGGAGCAAGCCACGTGCAAAGTGTCTCGACATTAACGTCTCCTCTCGATTGTCCCCACAAGACTGTAATTGCATCCACACAGTATTCGCCCTTCCCCAGTAGTCGACCAGAGTCTCTCCATGCTTCTGTCTAAGGCAGTTCCAAGTGCCGTCCAGGATTTCTCTCTCATGCGTCCTGTTTGTAGTGTAGTAGGACTGAAACACTCTCCACCCTGCTTGTGGACTCTCTGAAGCTAGTATCTGGTCTAGTATAGGTTGAACGTTGATTTTCGTGATCAAGCACATCCAGACTCTCGTGGCCTTTCGAACACTTTCATCGCCATACCTCTGCCGCAACCAAGTCTTATCGACGTGCAACGAACCCACAGGAATCTCTTCTCCTCTCATGATCTCTTCAAGACCCTCTGCATCCATCCACCCTGAGAAACAACTCGTAAAAATTCGGAACGCGACAGTCACACTTCGATCCTTCAAGAAAGCATCATTCCACTCAGGTACTTCGACTCTCTCTCTCAGCTTCAACTCTATGGGCTGGGAACTAGACGTGCCTGAGCGGACGTCATGTCCCGGAGTCTGGGAGGCGAAGTTGGCAACCCGGCGGAGGAGGTCGACAAGGGCGATAGTTGGATCTTGTTCCCCTCCATCCGCGGCTGCTTTCGTTCCTCCCTGCTGGTCCACATCTGGGGAGGTTCAACGAACCTCGTCCTTCCCCCCCGTTGTTCTTCCCCGTGGGGAGAGGAACTAGTCCCTGGTCCCCGCGGAGGTCTTCGTCCATCTCCTCCAGCCGTCTTATTCGCGCAGACACAGCAGCCACTTTCTTGATCTATTACGCTAGCGTGTTGGGTGGCTTGGTGCGCCCGGCGCAGTTGTAGACGGGCAAAAATAAAAGAACCGCGCTGGCGAGTTTGCCGGCAACGATAAAATACAGTAAACTGCCCACGGGTGTGGTAACCCGCCGCATCTATGATGTTCCGGAGCGTGATAGCTCTGATGTGTTGACGCTGGTGCTGTGATAGCTGTTGTGATGGCGTGATAGCCTAGAGGCGTGAAAGCCTGGCAGCGTGATAGATGGTGGATAGGTAGTATGGGCACGGGCGTGATAGCCCAGGGCGTGATAGCCGGGAAAAAGGAAGATGAATAAATCAAGGGCACGTGGCCAACACCGTTGCTGACACGCATACCCAGAAAACAATAATATGTGGCAAAGATGGTACCACCATTCCCCCAATTTATTACAACTGCGGAACCCCCAAAATCCCCCGCTCCATCTTCTAGGAACATTCCTCGGTTGCAATAATCTGTCAATGCTGTGAGTACATCCAACACCAGACACGCTGGCTGGCGTACTCTGGCTGCTGTCTGTTCGCCAGCAAGTGCATTCTATTTGCTGCCAATCCCCTCTACAAGAAAAACTTGACTGCAGTTGGCCACCGTTTCCTGACCACAACGCGTAGCGGATGGAGCTTGTTGCGCCCAGCCACAGCGCATGGGACGGCCGTATCCACACCACAATGTGATGGCGCAGCAGGGGCCGATCATGCAACACATACATGACGTGTGATGGGTCACCTCTCTATATGTATGTCACGGAGCCCCCTCCGATCCTCCCTCTGCTCAATGGTATATGACAATAAAAAAAAAAAAATGTCATATACCATTGCCTCTGCTGTAGAGCTGGCAGCAGCCGTGGCTTCCTGTCCTGCGCCATTAGCTAGGACCACCACCTCTGGACGTGCTAGCCAACATGGAGCGAACAGCACAACGAAGCCGGAATGGCGGGTCCGAGTCCCGAAGGGTATCGACCTTGTTGGCGGTTGCGGCGGGGCTGCTCTCCCTGGCACCCACCGCCGACTCTTTCCTCTCCGCGCCCATGAAAGGAGCAGGAGGCTCTGGGGCGGCGCAAGGGTTGCGTCGTCGAAGCACAGGAGAAGCGCGATCGGCGCAAGCGGGGCGCCAGGGGGATGGGGTTCTGTCGGCCACGGGCGTTGCGACAGAGGACAACCAGGGAGCGGTGGCCGGGAGCTTGCTGGAGACGCAGCAGAAGGGGGTGTCGAACAACGAGATGAAGCCCTTCGTGCGCGTACCGAGGCGCGACCCCCGGATGTGGTTCGATGCCATCAGGGAAGGGGCGGTTCCTCGACCAGACTCGCTTGTCGAGCTTTCTAAGTGAGTGAAACAACATATTTTCTTCGCTGCGCTCGAAGTCAACACGTGTAGACCATGCCACAACCTACCGTGAAATCCTACACTCGGTGGCGGCATGTTTTCGCATGCATCCTACATTCTAAGTTAGTTGGGATTTGCAGGCTCAAGTTGGGTAGCAGATTGAATGTTGGACTGCTGTTGGACTACTGCTGTACTAGGTAAACAGCAGGTGTACTGGGTGGATGTAGCGATGTTTGTGAGCTAACTGTTTGCCTTGACTGCGGTCACAAGGGGCTTGTCGGAGGGAGGTTCTCGCGGCCTTCAGAGTTTCGAAGGTTGCAATACCATGGTTAGTGAGCCTTTTTGGTTGTTTTTGGTCGTGTCAAGAGATGAAAATTCAAGCTGGAAAACATCCCGCTCTTGTCCTACAATGTGTTCCACACACAAATGCATTCACATGGGATTCACATGGGACGGTTGTCTCCAGGTTTGTCGCTGAGTTGACTTCACACATTGACATTCACACACATGCTTTTTTTTTCCAAGCAATGACACGGAGGACGTTGCTGCTGTGCTTCATGAGAAGTTTAAAGAGGGACGCACACAGCAGTACACCACTTGTACAGAGTAGACCTCGTGGCACCAGGTCAAACGATCAAATGAATGAAGGTATGCATATCTCGAGAGCGAAGATCCACAATACGTTGGGCGGTAAACATAACTTTACCCGTACAGAGCGACATGGTTTTCACACGACCAGCCAAGGCCATCCCCGTCACTTGGATTTGCACCAGATTGTGCGGGCGCTTCGGTCTCATCTAGTCAGTACCCCAGTCTACACGTTGAGGTATACACATGTTTCCGCCTTTCCCCTTCATTGCTTGCCTTCAATCTTTAATCGGAGAAGGGGTTCAGCAGCAGCTCCCTCCCTGCATTTGGGTTTATGCACGATTACCATTTGGCGCTCTCCACCTCTGTGTTTCTAAGATTCGTATGCTCCTGAGAGAGAGCGTTCGAACCCGCAATCCAGAGTCGGAAGGTTAACGGGGCTAAGGTTACCAACTGAACCACCGGGGGACCGGCTCTATTTTCGGTGTAAGCCGTAAGATACAGGCATGGTATTGGGTGCATCAACAACAGGGCGCCCAAGCGCTACGGGTATCGCCGTGAAGACACGTGCGCGCTGACGAAGCGCGCGACAAGATGTCGATTTTTTCTCCGCCCTTGTACGGAAGGATTTAAGGATTCCACCCAAAGGGATCGAGAGACGCCCCCCCCCCCCCCCCCCCCAGTTGCCACTTGCAAAATCAAATCAAAAGTGAAGGGGGCATGTCACTAAACGAAATATGAGTATACAAGAGGACAGCTGTTTTTTTCGCCGGACTTATCAAACAAGGTGACAACGTGCCTCCTGCCGAACACTCGCCATCTGGATATTTTGTTTAGATTTTGGAAACGACAGAATACAGGGTCTGCCCAGGTAAATCTAGAAACGTACCAACGCAGGCGTATGCTGCGCGATGGGCTTACGGGGACTCAGTGCAGACCCGTCACACGAACCACAACCTCCGCTGCCTGGCGATACTTTTCATGCGCATTCTTCCGATCTTTCGCGACTCAGCCCCAACTAACCATTGCGTCTGGCGATACTACTTCGAAATATGTATTTTATATAACAGCCCAGCGTGTTTCCCTCTTCTTTCCACGCATCCGTCGGCGACTTTTCTGCCGCCCAACACCCCCCCCCCTCCTCACGTGGCCCCTGTCCCCTGCCCCTACCGCACTCGTCGTTTTATCTATACCTTCGGTTGAAAAACGTGTCATCTTCAAAAACACCCCCCCAAGAGCGGGCGAGGCCGAGCTCGCAGAGTTGGCCCTGCCCACCCGCAAGCAAGAGCCCTACCGCTACACGGACCTGGAGTCTCTCTACCGGACCGACTTCACGTCAGCGGCGCCAACAACAACGGCAGCGGAGACAGCGGCCGCGATAAAGCCGCACCTGCTGGAGGCGAGCCAGGGCCAGCAGATGGTCTTCGTGAACGGGGTGTTCAGCGACGAGCTCAGCGACGTGTCGGCGCTGGGGGGCGTGGAGGGGCTGGTGGCCGGCCACATCGGGGCTATCGAGGGGGCTCCGCTCGATCAGGTGATTTTTTGGTGTGTGGCTTCGAGGGCGTTTTGAGTTTTTTTTTTTTTGTCGGGAAATAGACGAAAGTTGGTATATCGGCCCCTTTTCCACACAAAGGCTGAAAGGTACAAAAATTGCTTCGCGGCGACCGCCTGTGAGCGAGTCCAACCACTTTAATTGTCAACCTGATGCCTGGAGAACATGGTCAGGGCCCATGTACAGCAAGCGCACTTTACAGATCTTCTTGGACGTCTACAGGCCAAGCAACGCGGCGGCGCAAAAGGCCTCCAACGGGTTGCCCTATTTTGTCCGAAACTCAGTGGTTTATGCCCACCGAACTCTACTGCCACGTGTTTTTCGACCACCCACTTTCGTCTATTGTTCGACCCAGTTGTGTCCGAAATATTTACCCACATTTTTCCACTTTTGGGTCCTCGAAAGGTAGATCTCCACGCCACCGCACGGCGCAACATACGAAACAGTCTCGGAAGTGTACACAAAGGGTAAAACAAGCTGTGTGGGTGACTGAAAAAGCAAATCGTGGATTCGGAGGGTATACCCTCAGGAGTTTGGGGCAAAATAGGGCAGCTTGTTGAGGCCTTGTGTTCCGCCATGGTGTTGTGCCTAAAGACGTGGAAGAAAAATCCGTTAAAGAAATGATTTTCATGCTGTGCATGGGCCCTGACCATGTTCTCTAGGCACCATACTGACTATTGGAGGGGTTGGATTCGCTCACGGGACGGTCGCTGTCGCGAGGTGGTTTTTTCGTTGAGCCCCCCAACTTTTGTAAAAAAATCGGAGTTGGGGTATATATCTACGTTTTTTTTTTGTCTATTTCCATTTTTGTTCAAATGTTACTCGTTTGTACCCCCCCCGCCTCTCCCCGTGTTTCTTGAGAGCGGCGTTCTTGCCTTTGGGCAACAAAATCCAGCACGTTCTTGTTTGTTTTTGTTTTTTTTCGTGTTGGAAACCTTAACCTTTTACTGCTGCTGTCGTGGCCTCGCGAAACGTCCCACCCAGGCAAAGGAAATGTTGTCGTACCTGCCGGAGAAGGACGCCGACTTCCGAACGACTCAGGGGTCTCTGGCGTTCGCCAGCCTGAACCAGGCCTGCTTTGCCGACGCGGGGGTGATCATGGTGGCGGACGGCGTTACCGTCGAGAAGCCCATCCAGGTGTGTTTTATTGTTGGCGTCGACCGCACTAACCGGCTTGACCAATGAAAATGCGTCAGTCTTGTATTGGAGCTGGGTAATTTTTTTGGTAGGATCGACCGCTCTAACCGACCGACCAATGAAAATGCGTCAGTCTTGTGTTGTAGCTGGGTAATTTTTTTGTCAGGATCGACCGTGCTAACCGACTGACCAATGAAAATGCGTCAGTCTTGTATTGTAGCTGGGTAATTTTTTGATAGGATCGACCGCACTAACCGACCGACCAATGAAAATGCGTCAGTCTTGTATTGTAGCTGGGTAATTTTTTTGGTAGGATCGACCGTTCTAACCGACCGACCAATGAAAATGCGTCAGTCTCGTATTGTAGCTGGGAAAGTTTTTTGGTAGGATCGACCGTTCTAACCGACCGACCAATGAAAATGCGTCAGTCTTGTATTGTAGCTGGGTAATTTTTTTTTTTAGGATCGACCGTTCTAACCGACCGACCAATGAAAATGCGTCAGTCTTGTGTTATAGCTGGGTAATTTTTTTGGTAGGATCGACCGTGCTATCCGACCGACCAATGAAAACGATGTCAGCCATTGTAGCTAAATAGATGAGACACACGAACACTTTTTTCTGGTCAAAGGATAAGGGTTCTACCGACAGCAGTGTGTGTGTAGGTGTTCGACGAGCTTTGTGGTAAAAACATTCGTAAATCTTCTGTGTGGTACGCAGACGCACCGCGCCCCGGATTCTCGTTCCTCTGTAGATTGTGACTCTGGCACTGCTGTCCGTCTTTGTGTCTGGGTCTGTGTCGTGTGAGTTTTCCATCATGAGTTTGTTTCGCAGAGCGGTTTCGACGCACATTCGTAGTCCTCTCTAGAGGAGGTCACGGCGGTAGTGGAGAGGGTGCTGTCTCGTCTTGTGGTAATGGATGAAAGATCGATCGTGGCGAACACTCTAGTTGTCGTTGGGTGTTTCGTCTGTGTGGGTGTCTAGGTTTGAAGCGTATTCAACAGAGGACGCAGCAGCCCCCAAGCGTGAAATACTCCGCCCGCTGCTGTTGGTGTGATTCGTTTCTCTGTGCTTGTGCTAGATACGACGCTGCAGCTTTTCTGTGAACGAGGAATAGACTGGACAGTCTCGTCACCATATTATCTATCGATTTAGTATTTCATCAATATATCCGTTTCGTGACTTTCGTGAATAAGCGCATGCGAGGGTCGTAAGCAGCGTCAACAAGCCTGCACCTGAGGGTGCTGCCGTTAATCGCGTCCCTCCCTCCCTCCTTCCCTCACGCATTTGGTGCACGCGCGTGCATATTTGCACGTGCTTACAAACCACCAACTTTCCGAGGTCCCCGCCCATAAATAACCCGCGCATCTCTACTACTGCTCCATAGGTAATTTTCTTCTCCGAGGGGGAGGAGGGGCCCACGGTGAGCCACCCCCGGCTTGTCGTGAAGGCCGGAGCGGACTCGCATGTGACCCTTACGCAGAGCTACCTCAGCCGGGGCGGCGTGTGCCTCGCCAACGGTTTCACGAGGGTGCTTGTGGGAGATCGCGCCACCGTGGTGAGTTGAGGTGTGAAACCTTGGCCTACGTGGGGAGGGTGGGCGGGCGGCGGGGTTTTGGGGCGGTTTGATCGTGAGAAAGAGATAACGAAATGAGTGTTTACGTTTTAGGTGCATGTTGGTATTGGGTGGCAAGGCAAGGTTCTCAGTGGGAGGGGGGGAGGGGTTACTGCACGGGCTTCGCTTGGCGTGCTTGAGAAATGTTGCCATGAATGGATAATCGCGAGCACAAAAGAAATCGATAGGCTCTTTCTTCCCCTCTCGAGTGTATTGGTGCCCATGTGTTCCACTTTTCTTTTCGGCGAAGGTGTGTCGCCGAAAACGCTCATGGTACCATACAGAGCAACACACACTGGAAAGATGGCAAATGCCACTGAAACTTGTGTTGCGCGTACGTATGGTGAGAATACCCTGGCTTATCCTGCCGCTCTACAAGTTGTCGATGTTTTTTTCTATCTTTTTTTTTCTCGTGCCGTCCCGAAAGCACGGAGGACGAAAAGAAAATAACAGAACCAGGCTGTGTTGACCGTCGTTATTTGGTGATGACGTACGATCCGCCCGCAGCTGGCCTGTGCCGGTCCGTGCCGCAGGCTCGGTACCAGCAATGCACACAAGTAGCAGTGGAATCTGTATTTGTACTCGACCCCCCTAGCCACAAATTTTGGTACCCCCACCTCCCCCCGCTGGCTTGCTCACGACCCCTCACTACAGCCTCGCTCCCCCTCCGCCCCCATCTCGTGCGTTTCCACCCTCGTGTCTGCGTGTCCCCTCATGGACGCAACTACCGTATAATCTTGCGTACACGCTTTTCTCTGCCGCGTTGTGATTTCTCTTGGGATGGCTCACGAAACTTGAACAACAACAACAACAACAACAACAACAACAACAACCGACACAAGACGCACGACTACGCGGAGGAGATGAGCGCCTCCGACCGTCTCGTCGACACCGTCTCAGTCGACCAGACCACCAACTCCACCTACTCGGTCAACCAGGTCCTCTCCGGGGCCTTCGACGCCCGGGCCAACTTCCAGGTGATTTATTTGGGGTGATTTGACGCCTGTACGCGCTCGCGTTGCCGTTGCTGTTGAGGATGTGGTCGTGGTCGACTCTTTGAAGGAGGTGTTAGCCGCTTGCGTGGGAAGGTGCTAGTGTTGCGCCATCGCCCTACAAGTTTGTCGTACCAGTCAGTTTCTCTTCTCTCGCTGATCCAGTTTAATTGTGTTGCTTTTTGATTGTCCAACGTGTGTGTCCGTCATCAACTTTCTACGTCGCCTGTGGCCTTACCTCCGTGCATCCGAAGTGGCAACCCCGAACACACAGAACAATTGATTTGCTAATTTGCGGTGCATTCCTTCCTTGTTTTCTTTCTCCCCAGAATTGTTTTTGGTCTTCTTCTGCTTCGTTCTTTCCCGGGTGTGATTTGATTTCCTTACTCGGACAGCGGTTGCGGCTGCCGAAACAATTTTGAGGTTGAGTATAGTCATACTTAGTGGCGCACAAATATTTATTGGATGAATCCTTCTGTGAGATGTATCCATCGATCCTGGCAACGCCGTACCGTCGGCATTAGGCTGCGCCACACTACCCAAGTGCACGTGGCAAGCTTATTTCTACCATTGGGTGCTCGAAATGTACCGCCGTTGATTTGTGGTACGCTCCGAGCAAGAACTGGATCTCAACTCCTACGGTGTATTGTACGCAATGCCACAAGAACGTGCCTCTGCTACTCTCCAAGAGCTGTTTGACACACCTTGCTTCGGATGTTCTTAGTCTCCGCTCCTGCTGCTCTTTTTTTCGCCGGTGCTCGGAGGGGAGGTCGGTTGCGGGATTGCGGGGGAATTGACGTGGAATCGGCCGGCGGTGGCCTTTCGCGCGTAGATATTTGTTTTGTGTAGATGTGCCGGTGGGGCCGTGTGTGTGCGCGTCTCGAAGATGCTGTGTGTTTCTTAGGCCTTGGTGGGCTGGGAACAGCAGGGCGGTCGAATACTGAAACAGGGGGGCGGGCGCGCCATCGCAGCGGCACAACCCCCTTCCATCTCTCTCTCTCCCTCTCCCTCTCTCTCTCTCTCTCTCTCTCTCTCTCTCTCTCTCTCTCTCTCTCTCTCTCTCTCCAATAACTACAATTCCCTCACAAGCACAATATTCCACCTGCTTGCATGGCGCCCCCCGGGTAGTCCACATCTGTGGGCAGAGGGCGTCACGTTCGTGACGATGCCGCCCCGAACGTTGCACAGTACAGCAGCGGCTAAATCAAACGGTTTGTTTTAAATGCCGAACCGGAATATTGTGCATGTGAGGGAATTGTCATGGCGTGCCGAAAAGTGTCCTGCAGGGAATGAGTGGCGAGTGGAATCTGTTTCTGCAGGTATGGTTTTTACTTGTCGGGGAGGCACGGGACGCGGTACTCGCGGTACGAGCAGAAAAGGTAACCAGGGCTGCCTGCGCGCCGAGAAGAAAAGCGCCGAGAAAACGCTTCCAATGGAAAAGCGGGGATTGCGGAAACCCCTTCTGATTCTGTCGTGCAATAAGTCAACCCTAGTTTTTAGTGAGTGAAAGAAGACTTGGGGTAGTTTAATCACAGTATATATGTTGAGTTGTGATGGAATTAAGGAAAAATAAATACACACACAGAAAGACTACCCATTCGAGATATACCCACAGTCGAACGGGATGTGGTGGAGTCTTTTCAGTGAGTGGAGGAAAACCTGCTGGGTACTGGACTTATTTCGAGTCTTTTTAATTCTATACAATGATGATTTTTATGTCAGTGATGCCAGCTGGTGCAAAGTACAAAAACATCTGTATAGGTTTCCTACATTATACTATACATCCCTGTAGTTCTCTGCTGGGTCAACGACAAAATATCGGGGAGGACCCCTCCGTTGTGTCGTGTGTTGTAAAATGTATCCTTCACAGGGAACACGGCGCAGTGTCTATTGACAGCTTGCTGGTTTGTTATATTTTAGGAATATTATTTTTGTAAAAATCATGGAAGGAAGAGCTACTCGTTTCCAAAACTACAGATTTTTTAATTTTACGGGCAGTTGTTTCCCACCGTTTTTTGAATTTACAAAGCGTATTTGATCCTCTGGGGTAACGTGTCAGTGATGCTTAGATGAGAATGGTACCCCTGGTGTATGGTAGGTAGGGCATAGCATTCAGGTTCTGTCATGCTAGCTTGTTTCTTGTTATGTTTGGTGTTGGCAAACAACATCAGTAAAGCACGAAAGTTTTCAAATGATATACATGTGGTATGGTTTTTGTCAACTTCCCTGGTGTTCCTCAGAGCAATTTGCCGAGATATCTTGGAATGGACTTGAGAATGTTGGCTCTGAAAGCAGGGTTGGGTTTAGTTCTGGTTGAGATGTCGTCAAATAAGGTCATGAAATGTGTATGAGAAGGAAAGTAGAATTGAGAAAGTGTTGGTTTATGGAGCTTTACGTCGAATCTCGCACTACGGCTGTAGATTGAAACTTTCTTAAGCGTAACATCAAAGGAGCGCCCATTCAATTCCCTCTCAAACTGTCAATGCAAAGACTGAGACTACTTGTTGCATATGCACGACTTCCACTTCCAACACACCTTCGAACGGGGTAATTTGTTCTTGAACGGGCGCTCCTTTGACGTTACGCATACGATAGTTTCAATCTACAGCCGTCGTGCGAGATTCGAAAAAGCTCTGTACGACGACGACCGACGACCGATCTTGCCGCCAAGCTCACCACCGGGGCCTCCACGTGCTAGGCAAAAATCTTGTCTCGAATGCTGCCACGAACCAGGTTCGCGCAGCACCGACATCGACACAATGCCGACCCCAATTCCAATCATCTTCGTTCACACGGTTTACAGCAGCTTTCGGGCCGTGGATTCACCGAACAATTGATTCATCCCACCGTGCTGCTCGTGCTGCTGCTGCCACTTCCTCCTTCCCTCACCCTTTTCGTCTGCCATCTCACCCCCCCCCCATTCCGTCCTCTCGAGGACGTGTGATGGTCTAACCGCTAAGCCATGCCTGCCTGCCTGCCTGCCTGCCTGCCTGCCTGCCTGACTGTCTTGTCTGTTTGCAGATCGACCTCTTGGAAACGGGGTCGCACTGCAACATATTCACGGCCGCCCTGACGACGAACAACCAGAGGCAGGACGTGCACTCCACCATCCGCCACAAGGCCGAGGGCACCACGTGCCTCCAGGAGCAGCGCAACGTGGTCTCGGACACTGCCGACTGCGTCTTCAAGGGCCGCATCGTCATCGACGTGAGTCAGGCGGCTGTCTCGAGCGGCTAGTATCTCGTCCGTCGCCTCAGGAAGTTAGCTGTCTTGACCAGCTACTGTTACCGCTGTATCTCGTCTCTCCCCTCAGGCAGTTCGCTGGCTGTCTCGAGCGGGTACTGCTGCCGCTATATCGCCTCGCCAATGGTGCAATGAATACATACGCGTAGCTTGGTGTGGTTTAGAGTACGTTCCTTCTCGCTCGCTGGGTGGTGGTGGTCCCCACATCGTCTCTTTTTTTTTTACAAAAAGTTCACCTCGTCCACATGTAAGAATTTTACGTTTGTTTGTTGGGTTTCATGGGCTTGACATGTGGGTCTGGTTTTCACAGCTATGCAATCTACACCGTTCCTCCGTTTTGACGAAAAGACGTTTCGATGTTTTGTTCCTGTCACTCACTGCCGTGTTGTGTTGCCCGTTTTGGCCCGTCTCATGGGCGTGAGCGAGGCAAGCGTGCCCCCCCCCCCCCCCCGTTCCGGGGGGTTAAACACGAATGTTTTTTTTTCTTTCGTTCCACTCTCTCCCAACACAACGCGATGGTCTTGGGAATACATGGCCATGCATGATAGTCAGACGCATGGCCACGCCCACCCCCGCGCGCGCGAATCGCGCAGAAACTCCCGGCAACACCGGCACAAGGAAGACAAACCTCACAACTCTCGCGTGTGATCGTTGTTCTGCTTGTTTCACGCCCCCCGGTCGGTCCCCAGCAAGTCGCGCAAAAGACTGACGCGAACCAGCTGTGCCGCACCCTCCTGGTGAGCGACAAGGCCCGGGTGACGGTGATGCCGTCGATGGAGATCATCGCCAACGATGTGAAGTGCACGCACGGCGCCACCATCTGCGACCTCGAGGACGAGGAGCTGTTCTACCTCATGTCCCGCGGGATCAGCAAGATCCAGGTGGGCAAGCGAGGGCACCGAGCGTCGTTTGACAAGTCGGGGTGGCTAGGGGGCGACGGTTTTTCGGTGCATCTCTTTCTGTCTCTTTCTATTCCTTTCTCTTGTAGATGGGATTCCATATTTGAGGGATGCTTTCCGGTCTTGGAATTGAGCTGACGACGAGCGAAGCAATTCGATGCCCTTTGTCAAACACGAGACGGCGATTGGTGGCTTCTGTTTTGTTTCTGTCTGGCAAGGTCGAGCAACATCCCAAAGCGAGCAGCGAAGCGCTCGTTGGGTGTCCTTGTCTGAAGTGCCACGAAGCGGAAACCGCGACACGAACGCGAAAGAAACCTTCGTTGTATACTTCCCTTTTTCAAGTTCATCTCTCCCGTCAAATACCCGGTGTTGTGCAAGAAGTAGAAATGAAGATGGAAGCAGTTTTTGTCGCCGCAAAGGACGTGTCCGTAGGTGTAGACGAGTTCTGCCTCCCTCGCTCGCGCGAGAAATTTCTTTCCGCAACATGCCGAAAGACACGTACGGCGTGCTCTTGTTCTTGCCCGTTACACAGCCGTCCAGTCGATCCCAACGCGTTTTCTCTCGTTCCTCCCATGCATGTGGTTCTTTCACATGTTTTTGTTGCACCCGGAACAGAGCATGTGTGTGTGTGACCCGCCTGCCTGCCGTTCTTCCTATTTAGATGTCTATTTAGATGTCACTGCTGTTGCGGCGATCTGCTGCGTGTAGGGTCTGCCCTATTCGATTTTCGCGAGGGGCGTCTTAACGGACACCGTAGGCGGCAGGTATTGTAGTCGTATGGGTGAGGATGCCAACCGCTTCTCGCTCACATCAACACCCCTCACAACCGTTCCCTTGACGACACGTGGTCAAATATCTGCCCGCTAAGGCATGCAAAACATAAGTACGACCCCGGTCCCCTCGCCCCCCCCCCCCCCCCCC